TATGGGCAATAGAGCGGATAGATTACTTTCTAACAAATTTTAAAAAGAAAGGATAAAAAATAACATTGCAAAAATGATAGATAATGGTAGAATGATTTAAAAACCAGAAGAAATAGGGGTATGTTTTGCAAAGTTTTACCACTCACTTTATAATATTCCAGGCAAGACGCCTCTATATAGAATAAAAGATTTTCTTAATAAATTCAAAATTCCAAAATTGAACATGTCTCAATTGGAAACCCTGAATAAAGAAATAAGTGAAGAGGAAGTAAGGACAATAATCGAAAAACTTAAATCAAAGAAAGCACCTGGACCTGATGGGTATAGTAACTTGTGTTATAAAGTTATTAAGGATAATATAATCGCTGATCTGACAAAAGCATTTAACTGTATTTTTACCGGGGGGGAAATCACAGGGGAATGGATACAGGCTAACATACTTCCTATCCCTAAACCTAATAAAGATATACGAATATTGCTAATTTTCAACCAATCACACTACTGAACGTGGATATCAGGTTCTACTCAGCAATCCTGGCAGACAGAATTAAAACAATCATCTCAAATTTTAGTAAGCCCAGGCCAAACAGGCTTTATTCCTGGATGGTCCTCAGCCAGAATTGTCCAAAGACTTGTTGATAGACTGGATTCGGTGAAACAGAGTGGCTAATCCCTTCTGACAGTTTCATTAGATGCTGAGAAGGCATTTGACAGCGTCAGATGGGAATTTTTAGAGAGATCCCTGAGCGCAGTGGGATTTATAGGCAATATAACAAAAGCTTAATGGATTTGTATTTTATACCAACCGTCAGAATTATAGGCAGCGGCCTCACTTCAAAGTGGTTCACAGTGCAAAATGGCACAATACAAGGATGCCCTCTTTTACCTATACTGTATAACATTATAATTGAGATTTTAGCAATAGCTATTGGGCAAAATATAAACATTAAAGGATATTCAGATATTTATTGGAAGTCAAAAATTATTATGTATGCAGACGATACAATTCTGACACTCCAGAATCCATTGGAATCAATGGCAGAATTAATTAAAATCATTGGGACATTTTCAAATATATCCGGGTATAAAATAAATTTAGAAAAATCAATGGCAATTTTTAGCAATACTACTTACATACTTGAAAGGGAAATAGCATTACAATATAAAATAACCAAAATTGAATTTATTAACTGTCTGAGTATTGAAATCTGTCCACAAATCTCCAAGATAATGGAGTTAAACAAACAATTAAAGGAATGAAAGTTCCTGGAGATCTCATGGTGGAGAGAACTAAATATTATCAAACCATATATCCTGCCTAAATGGTTGTACTTTTTTAGAATGGTAACTATGGAAATACTGGCAGCCTGGCTAGATCTACTCCACACAGCTTTCCACAAATATATATGGTCTGCAAAAAGCCCTCGTATCAACAGCTTGTTTGCATTAAAAAATAAAGAAAGGGGATTGGGTTTCTCTAATACTAAAAAATATTATAAGACTGGTACAAAAGGGAAGACTGGTACAAAAAAAGAACAAAATTTAATATAGACATGTGCATTCGTTTTCGGATGAATACAATTTCGTATTCTAAAACGTAAACAAAAGCCCTACATACGAAATATAAACAAAAGGGCAAATGCTGAATGTATTACCTTTTTGTTTCAGTTCTTAAGTTTAATAGCACAGACCACAGCACGGAGGAGAAACAAAAAATGCTGGTTCTCCCTGCAGCCTGAGACTTAACCCGTGCAGGGCTGCAAGGAGACTCTTACAAGCATGGGTTAAGTGACTTAACCTTTGCTTGACAAAAATAACACTGCGTGTTTATTACAAGCTCCCTCCTTGTAATAAATATTCCTACCCCCCACCCCTGTATTAAAACCTATGGGGTCACTATGATCCCCATAGTAATAAAAGAAAGGTTAAATCCTCCCGCATGCCCCTACTCGCATATCATGTAAAACTACTAGTAACTGGGCAGCTCTTGCTTCCCAGTGGCTAGTGCAACAAGAGGGGACCTGGCACTATGGTGGGAAATCCAAATAACAAAAATGGGGGGGGATTGAGCCCCATGCGCCCCCACCCATGACCTGCGGATGGAGGCTATTAATATAAACTGGGGGTCCCCACTCATGACCGTCAGGTGGGGATCTTAATTAAATAAATAATGTGGGGACCTAATGTCCCCCTGAGTACCCCACCCATGAGCGGTGGGTGGAAACCCTAACAGACAATGGGGGTGACCTATTTCCTCCCCCCCACGGCCTCCACCCATGAGCGGTGGGGGCCCTAAATGACCATAAGGGGGTAGGACTTATTGTATCCCCCACGACCCCCACCCATCGCTCATGGCTTTTAAAAAAAAAATACCCACCCCTACAATTGACTAGTCGTCTCCAAACCCCTAGTCACCCCCTCCCCAATAAAATTAAATCTTACCTACCCACTCTCTCTAAAAATATTGAGGGGGGACATAAAAAAACAAAATACCTGTAAATAAAAATCTTTTATACTTCCCATTAGATGTCTTTTTTTTCTTAAACCTTCTTTTTCAGCCCCAAAAAAGGCCAAATAAAAAGCCATAACTCCCGTCAAACTTTGAAAAAAAAAAAAAAAAAAATGGAGCACAAAAAAAAGTTGAAAAATAAAACCTGATGCCCACAAAATAATCCATCTTCACCAGCACGCAATCGCCTTAAAAGTTGACTATTCAGTGCCTGATTGGTTGGTTTAAGCCAACCAATCAGAGTGCTCGACAGGTAAATGAACAGACTGACAGGTAAGTCACATTTAAATTTAAAACGAAGGTTTAAGAAAAAAGACATCTAATGGTAAGTATAAAAATATATTTACAGGCATTTAGTTTTTTTTGTCCCCCCCCTCACTATTTTTAGGGTGAGGGGGTAGATAGGAATTAATTATATTGGGGATGGGGTAGACTAGGGGTTTGGGGACCCCCTAGTCACTTGGGCGGGTATATTTTTATATTTAGCCACCACCCGCCGCTCATGGGTGACGCGCCTTGCAAGTTGACTCACATTTAAATTTAAAACGAAGGTTTAAGAAAAAAGACATCTAATGGTAAGTATAAAAATATATTTACAGGCATTTAGTTTTTTTTGTCCCCCCCCTCACTATTTTTAGGGTGAGGGGGTAGATAGGAATTAATTATATTGGGGATGGGGTAGACTAGGGGTTTGGGGACCCCTAGTCACTTGGGCGGGTATATTTTTATATTTAGCCACCACCCGCCGCTCATGGGTGAGGGCCGGGGGGAGACCATAGGTCCCCCCTATTGATAGTTAGAGCCCCCCGCCACTCATGGGTAGGGGCTGGGGGGACAATAGGTCCCCCCTTGTTGTCATTTAGGGCCCCACCCACCACTCATGGATGGGAGCTGTGGGGGGAGGGCAATAGGTCACCCCATTATATATTTAATTAAGGTCCCCACCTGCCGGTCATGGGTGGGGACCTGAGGGTGACATTACGCCCCCTTTATTTAATTAGGGTCCCCACCCTCCCCTCATTGGTGGAGGTTTGAGGGACACAGTAGGTCCTCCCATGGGTTACGAGTGGGGGGCGGGGGGCACTATTTCCCCCCTCATTTTTGTTATTTGGGTTCCCCACCATGGGGGAACGGTGTGGGGGCATGCCATGAGTAGGGACATGTGGGAGTATTGAACCTCCCTTTTATTAATATGTCATAGTGACCCCCATAGGTTTTAATGTGGGAGGGGTGTAGGAATTAATATTTATTACAAGGAGGGAGCTGGTAGCGCTGCTGGCTCCGTCCTTGCGGGTTTTTTTGTGGTTTTTGCACCTGCGCAGTGGAATTTTTGTCTTAATGGACGAAAACGAATAATCTTTTTACCGAATTTCGTACGAAAACGAATGGTTTACGGACAAAATTCGGAATGAAATTTTTATTTAGTACGAATTCATTCGTACAAAATGAAAATTTTGCTGGAGCACATGTCTAATTTAATACAACATCAGTATATGATGGCTCTTTTTGGCAGATAGAACCCAAGAACAAAAAAGGAAAAAAAAAACTAAGTTTAGGAATTTGTCCAAAAAAAATAAAATGTCCAAAACAAAATAACCTTTTTGCTCCCCATCTCATTCATAGAAGATGATATAGCGGATACTAAAATGGAAAATTGGTTGAATGCAGGTGTATATCAGATTAAAGATCTGTTAGATCACCACCAATAATATATATATATGCCATAATAGAGAAAAAAAAACCACAATTTTACTCCAATATTTAGCAGAGATTAGTGATGAAATGACTGTGTAAAAAGTGTCAAAATAACTTTGGGTAAATAGCTTGTGATGTCTACTTTATATAAATAAATACTCTTGTATGGTAATTTTGTTTTTTTGTGATGCTACTAAACTTACAAGACAAACACACCAACTTCTTTTTATTTGTAATTGTGACCTGTAAATTTTAAAATAAGCTAAAATCCTAAACAGTATCTACTTTATACATCAATACACATAAATTAATTTATTTTGAATTATTTTTCCTAAGCTGGACATATTATGCAGATGTTATTATTGCAACAACTGTGGAAAAAGATTTTTTTTCCTATTTTTTGCCATTTTTCTTTATAACTTTCTTTATAATTAATTAATGAGAATTTATAAATGTACCGGTATATGTAACATATAATTAAAACCCTTTTTGCCCTCTAGAAATTGTATATAATAGGTGTTGAACACTGTGACGGACCGTCTGGCACCCTGACCGGGTACCTATTTCAATAGCTTCCTTGTACTTGCGAGCACCATAAGCACTGTACTGGAACACCATAACCATGTAAACCCCACTAACCACCGCTGCTTGGTTGGGGTCTCGCTGTCCTCCACCCACCCTGGACCCAAGACCAGGATCCAGCTTCCAGTGGGTAGACCTCTCCTAGTCCAGAAAGCATAGCAGAAACAGCTCTTATAAGAGCTAGTGCTTATACTCAAGGGAGTATTGTGATATAGCAATCCCCAGAGTGAATGTAGTTCTCCAATCCCCCAAACATGAGCCAAGACTTCATGAAGGGGAAAACAAATCTCAGTTTAATGGGAGCCACACTTGGCCTTATATGGCAAACCCCATGCAAGGGGTACGCCCACATGGACCTGATGGTAGACTGATTTGCAACTTCACAGACCAATAACAATAAGGTTACAAGGCACAACACTCCCACACATAGCACACAGTCCCTTCCCTCTGCCTGGGAGATAATTGGATCAGTAACTGTACTAATTCTAATCCAATTATCTCCAAGCACAGAAAAAAACATACTTTTTTAAAACACCCCAAAATATATAAAACATCTCCTGATAGCCCTGATCTGGGTGACCAACATATCCAAATTTCACCCAGATCAGTTCAGGGGTTCAGGAATTTCCAGGAAGTCTTACTTTTGACCGACTGTGCACATGGTCCTATGCCCAAAACAGTTTGAGGGAATCAGGGCTAACGGTCTGTCTCTCTGTCTGGAATACAAAAGTACACAAACAGCAAAAAATGCAAAAATTGATTGTGTCCTTAAGGGTAAGTCCAGCTTCTGAAGGGGTTATGAATTAATGTGTAAAAAAAGGGATTCATCGAAATAAGTACTATATTTAATAAAATTCTGCATAAAGATACATTATCCCTTCTGAATAATTATGTGTTAAGAATACTATAAAAGTGCTGCTTTTAAATATCAATAGTGAAAACTACACTCCCTTCACATAACCATAACCATTACATAAATTACTATTGCCCTAATAATAACCACAAATAAAATATATATCGTGAATAGGGCAGCAGTCATATCTTAATTAGTACTTAAACTGCAGCAATAACATTTAACAACTTGCCAGCTGTTTACCATACAGATTTATTCTCTTAACTGATGTCCATAAGTCCTGCTCCAAAGGTGATGCATAGCTAGCATACTAACATATGATAGAAAAGAGAAAAGTGAAGAACACAAGGTTCTATGTCTCTGTGTATCCACCTGTGTATACTCTCCCCAAGATGGAAAAGAGGGGGGAGAGGAAACAGGTGCCTCACAGGGACTAATGTACCGAAGCGAGATTCCAGGTATCTCAAAGGGGCTTAACCCCAAATAGGCAAACAACACAACAAAAAAGTATAGTGGATGCAGTCTGTCTCAGAGTGTACTTGAGATCAGCTGCATGGCCTGGAAGTATATATAACGGTATAGTGTACTATAAACCCTGGATTGTGACTAGAGAGACCTATGATGATATAATGAGGAATAAAAAATAAATAATAATAAATAAATAAAGTATCTACAGGTAATACGAAAGTTCTATGCCAGACCAAAAGTATTAGATAGGGATATCAAAGTGTAACCTGAATCTTAGCTCACCCTAGTTATCAGCTTTATTGTAATGTACTATTAGGGTGAGAGTCAAGAGAAAAGGAGGGGGTAAATCCCATACAGTGGTCTATCCTATCCAAAATCATGGTGCTACATCCACCAGTGCCCAGTGCTCATATCAGGGTGCTGGGCATTTTTACTCATATCACCCTGATATGAGCACTGGGCACTGGTGGATGTAGCACCATGATTTTGCACTATACCTAATCTATCTTTATTTCTGTTCTATGCCTGTCTAGCTAGATTAACAGGGAGAGAGGCTTTGTAATTTAATATTACCAGTCTATTTTTTTGACTGGTGTTCTATCTATCAATTACCTCTATCCTTTCATCTATCTTCTATAACTCAATTTGGAGCAAACTTGATATATATTTGTATACTAGACGATTCCTAGGATAGACCACTGTATGGGATTTACCCCCTCCTTTTCTCTTGACTCTCACCCTAATAGTACATTACAATAAAGCTGATAACTAGGGTGAGCTAAGATTCAGGTTACACTTTGATATCCCTATCTAATACTTTTGGTCTGGCATAGAACTTTCGTATTACCTGTAGATACTTTATTTATTTATTATTATTTATTTTTTATTCCTCATTATATCATCATAGGTCTCTCATTATTCACAAGCCAGGGTTTATAGTACACTATACCGTTATATATACTTCCAGGCCATGCAGCTGATCTCAAGTACACTCTGAGACAGACTGCATCCACTATACTTTTTTGTTGTGTTGTTTTACTAACATATGATAGCATAGCAATTTTGTGTATAGATATACTCTAATCTCTACCCAAAAATAAACAATTTATGACTGATGTGAGTGCCTGGGTCATTAAATAAAAAGCAATAGATATGTCAATCACAGGAAATTTTGTGTATAGATTGCTTTGCAGACAAAAAGGTAATTATTTAAACTAACAGAACTTTTATATTTCACTCAATCATTCATCTTTGCGAACATTTTGGGAAATTAAAACTTTAGACAGTATATAGTGTACTATATAATTCCGACAGTGACTTGGTAAAGTTCATTCACTCCTCCTCCTGTCCTGACTGTAGGAATACTATGATCCATTGAAACTTTCTGTACTGCTTGAAAGCAAGGAGTGATCTTACATTTTCAACATCTTTAAAGTCATTATATTAGTGACTGATATATAGTGGCGTCTGAGAGAGTATGTCCCTTTACAGGCTGGTAATCATAATTAGAATATAAGTGAGGGTGAAATATAAAAACATTTATATTTGACTTGTGTATAAAAGGAGTTAAAAAGAAAGCCACATTTGTATTAACCATTTTGCCCTTATAGAGGCTTCAGAGTATAGCTGAAATATTGTCTTTATCCACATAATCATCACACAAAATTTCATGTGATTGACATATCTATTGCTTTTTATTTAATGATCCAGGCACTCACATCAGTCATAAATTGTTTATTTTTGGGTAGAGATTGGAGTATATCTAGAATTAAACCTTCCCCAGAAGTAATAATCTACATGTTTTACTCTGAAAAGGTAAAGAGAAAAATCCCCTACTCTTTGTTTACTTGTATGTTAATTCACTAAACACCGATTTTTTTTTTACAGATGGACAAAATCCGGAAAAATGGCCAAATTCTGACCAGAATAGCAATTCTGATATTTACTAAAGCCAAATCTGATCAGAGCGGGTAGGGGGCTCTAAGTATGATACAAGGGGGAAACCTCGTGTCCAGCCCTTACCCCTACCAATGTGCAGCTGTTCTTGGCTATAATTAAATATACACAGTTGCTAGGGGTCTCCAAGCTTCTAGCCATTCCCATACATTAATCTTACTTATCCACCCTCACCCTAATAATAGGCCAATAAAATGAATACCTGTAAATAAAAAAAAGTTATACTTACCATCAAAGATCTTCTCTCTTCCAAATCTTGTATTCAGGCCAAAAAAACACCAAATTAAAAGCCATATTAACGCAAACAGTTAGAAGAAATTAAAAAAAATTCCAACACAAGAAAAAATGGATCCATCTCCGTCATTCAAGGGCTCTGCTTAAAATGAGCCTCAATATGTCCCAGTGGACAAATAGTTTGGATTTTTAAAATCCAGACTTGATTTGAAGCTATTGGGTCTATATTTCAGCTATCTGGCGGCATTCGATCTGACTCATTTCTGGACTTAATTCATAGTTTGGATTTTTAAAATCCAGACTTGATTTGAAGCAACTAAGTCCATATTTTAGCTATTTGGCGGCATTCTATCTGGCTCATATCTGGACCTAATTCAGTATTGCTCCGAGCTTGATTAGCAAAATGTGAACATTGCTAAATAGTGTGAAAACTGCTTGGATATGGCAGTTCAAAAGGTCCATAGGCAGCCAGACAGTTTTGCCCCATTCGATATACGATCATTAGTACTTTAGTGAATAGTCATGAAAATGTCTCCTTTTCCTCTACTATTTCTTGTTTAATAGAATTTTTTCTTTGTTGTACAGTTAATTTATCTCCTCTGTTGCTTGAAAAAATACAAACTTAAAATTCTTCAGGATGCTCGAGGGTCACTTCTACAAATCTCCATAATATACTGTAAATATCTAAGTTGTTGGTTTCATTTCCCAACATGTTTGCATGTTGAAATGTAGGATATTGTACTACGTAAGTACTACAACTATAATATGACTTGTATGTAGGCTAAAAGATTGTGGGATTCGGCCCAAAAGTAAAGCTTATAACCTCTCTCAAAAGCACACTGTGACAGCCGATTGTGTCTCACCATTAAATTAAAAAAGTCAACTTAGTCAACTAAAAGGCAAATAATTAAATAAAAGTAAACTGAGACCCCTAACAATACAGGAGTAGCCCAGCAAGTGGCCTCTCCCCCCTTTTCCAATCTTTGAGTAATGCATTAATATATTGAAGTCGTGATTGAGCATCTTCCTTTTTACCAATTTCCTTTCTACAACCTAAATACCCACCCCACAAAAGAAAACATATTGCATGCTGTCACAACTTAATAAAATAAAAACATACACGTATAACAAAACAAAAAAAGAAATATTAGTATGCAATAATATAAATAATAATTTATCCAACTCGTTGGATTGTCCATTAGGCAGTGTTGTTTTCGTTTATACCAATGTCCCAGGAAGACAGACATTAACCTAATACTGCAAACGTTGAGTCTCAAATCAATGCTTCACCATTTGTTTGCTTGATAAAGGATGTGAAACTTGTCTTAAAGGGATTCTTTAGTGCCAGGAAAACAAACACGTTTTCCTGGCACTGTAGAATCCTGGAGTGCCCCCCTCCCTCCTGCCCCCATCCAACATCTCTGAAGGGGTTAAAACCCCTTCAGTCACTTAACTGAATCCAGAGCGCCGATGTCCCTTGGTGCTCGGTCAGGCTCCGCCCACGCTCCTCACCAGCTGACATTTGAGACCTAATGCGAATTCGCGGCAATGCTTTCCAATGGGGATTCTGACGATGCTGGAGGTCCTCATGCATAGCGTGAGGATGTCCAGCATCATTTAGGCGACCACAAATCGTCTAAGAACCCAAAAGTCCCTCTAGTGGCTGTCTGATAGACAGCCACTAGAGGAGGACTTAACCCTGCAAGGTAAATATTGCCGTTTATAACAACTGCAATAATTACACTTGCAGGGTTAAGGGTGATGGGAGTTGGCACCAACCACTTCAATGGGCTGACATGGTCTGGGTGCCTACAGTGTCCCTTTAAACTCCACCTTTTTTTCAGGAGAGGCAGAAGCACATACTAGGAGCTCTTTTTAGCATATCATTGGCTGCGATTGTCAGCTGATCA